TAACTTTCCACTTGAAATGTATTTTCTCATCACACTCTGCCGCCTCCAGCAATGTCTTTATGCTTTCTCTCCTGTTGAGGACAGGAATCCACACTCTCTGATGTTAACACAGAGCCTCAGGAGCTGCTCCACACAGCTGCCATTCCTTTTCAGTTGCTCCCAGAGACTGGCAGGCACCCCCACATTCAACTCTTTCCTCCTTACCCTGCAGATGAGGAGAGGTGGCAGGTCCAAAGACAGTTTGTCTTAGGGTTGCAATAGGCAGTTTTCAAAGAAACCACCTGCTCTGTGCACAGGTTGCCAGTCAACAGAACTTGCATTTTAACTCCCTGCCTATAAACCGGTCCTGTGAAGAAACATCCTCCTCCAAAAAACAGGGACTGCAAAGTAGCAAACGTTCCCCGTGCCAGTGTGTGGTCTTCTCCTATTCCATTGTATCGTCTCCACCTACTGGCCAGAATGAAACTTCAGCTGGAGCACAGAACTAGTGAAATAAATACAACCATTGCACCCACACACTTCATGCTAACTACTGACAAAAATAAGCAACTGGGGGGCCTTTGGCGGTTTGCAGGTTTGTTTGGGTTTTGTCCAGGAATACGAATTCCTAAACAGACAGAACTCCACAGTAAAAATGTCTCTTGGCATTTTATTCTCAGATATTTTAATATTCTCAGATATTGGTGATGTTGCACAACTCTACTTCAATTAATTCAGCTTTCCTGATTCAAGATCCTGGGCTATGGTCAGATTTTTTACCAGTCTGAATCCAGAACATGAATTTTATTCCAAGCTTTTTTGATTGGAGAATTAGCATTATTTTTTAAGATTGTATATTAACTGAGTATTAAACCTTTTAATCGGTTTACATCAATCTATCATCACGAGATAGGACGATGAAGTTATTAAAGAGTTACATTTTGTTAACAGCACAGATTACACGTAAAAACACACTTCAGCTATATACTTAAAACAGAACTCTCTGTTGCTACTTAGGAAAAAAACAGTCACGTATTAAATGCACAAATAGTAAACTGAAGAAACATCCCCATTCGTTTTTCCACCCTCAAAAGGCACTGGTCATCTGCCACAAGTACCAAGGAGTGGCAATGGTGTTGGCAACCTGAGAGACGAGCCATGACCTTCTGAGCAAGACTGACTGAGGTTAAACTTGTAATTCCCATCAGTCACCTCCAGCTCAGGAATTGTTTACCTGGATAGTGGTCCCCTGGGGAGCATCTGCCAACATGCATCCTTCCCACTTTTCTGGGGAAAGAAAATTCCAAAATTTAATTCCAACAACTGGTATGGCTCACCTGGTGCTCAGAAGAGCTTTGAACCTCCTCTGCTAGCAGCAACATAAACCATCACATCCTCAGAAAAACCAACCAACCAAAAACCCCAGGCCCTTAAGGCATTCACTGTTTACAGTTAAATTTGCAGTGTCTCTGACTAAGTAAGTAAAACTCCACTACAAATATTTGGTGTGCATCTAGTGTTATATTATCTTAAGTTATTCTTAAACCAAGAGTGGTGCCAAAGCTAAACTCAAAAGACATTTTTATTTCACGGTTTAGCAGCCACAGAAATTCCTTTCATCTGAGGTGAGGTCATGGGCAGCCTCTGGAGTGAGAAAGCAAAATTATGAGAATCAAAATTGACTTGAACATACTAGGTCCTACCTTACCTTCTTGAAAAAATACAGAGAAAATTAGATCACTGGTCCGAGCCAGAATGGTAGGAAAAGATCTCACAGAGATCGCAGAAACGGTCTCCCCAGAGGAGAAATCACCATTCCTGGTCTCCAGACCAAAGAGGAGAATTTCACACTAACACCGGCCTTGACGTGAGCTCAGAGACCAGCATCCCAGGCTGCCACTCCTAGGCTGATTTTCTAAATAGACTCAGAATAGCAGAGAGTCCATGTGGTTTCTTCTCTATCAGGCAATTGGAAAGATCAGTTCTGTGAGCAAAATATGTGATCTCGTAACAAATGTAACGACAAAACATTTGGGCCTCATGGGCTGTGTTAATAGCACATGAATCCGAGTCTAATGTAAACCAGACAGAAATCTAACCAACTTGAAGACAAAAGGAGGCATCAATGGAGGTGGCCTACAGTCTCCACAAACAGGAGTTTTCTAATTCTACACAGAAACAGGAGGGCTTTCTAAGTCACACCTTTGAATGGGTACTAAATAGCAGGAAATTTACCTGTCAACAGGAATCACCTCAAGAGATGGTGAAATCTCCTTGAGAGCTGACATGAGGGGGCAGCAGGGGGGCCACCTGACTTTTACAGAAAGAAATTTTTTTTAAGGGTTGATTCTAGGAGCAGCAGAAGAAAAGACTCCAGGAAATGAAAGCGTTTCCAAGTAGTTGCACTAGAGAACAGCTACTGAGGCTCTTCAGTGAGCTATTGAACTGCCAACGATAAACACCATCCCAAAACCCACCATTTTTCATCTGTCAGCACCAACTCAGATGGTATGTCTCCTTTGGTCTCAAACATTTCCTTGTGGCAAAATAAACCACCTAGACACACCCGTTCTCCTTCACTGAGCTGGGTGCAGGCAACTCCTGACGTACCAGCTTTGTTACAGATAGCCAGTCTCAGGTGAGATGACTCCCATGACTTTTACCCAACACTGAGCCCGTACTCCTGAAGTCTCAACAGATGTTATGCTTTCCTGAGAGATGTCCTTTCCTGAAGCAGTACAAACATCTGCATGATAGACAAAAAAGGGAAAGGACCTCCACTAGACAAACTTAAATCCTGTTTACAGCTTGTCAGAATAGAACAAACGCACTTCTTAGAATTTAAGAAACCATCAAGCCCCATACAAGTACAGTTGGCTAAGTTAGCAAAATAAGAGTGGACCAAATGATCCAATAGCAAAGGATCTCCCCAAAGACGCATAGTAAAATACTTCAAAATTGAAGGGAAAAAAAAACCAAACCCAAACAAACTGGGTGGCCAATACTTGACTTTTGTGGTTTTTTTTAATCCCACCCTTGCTGTATGTGGAAGACTGGGCAGATGTGTGCACCCCGACAGATACCACTGAGGCAGAAATTAAGCTCCAGTTCAAGAGCCCAAGGCAGCGTTTTTTAATCCCACCCTTGCTGTATATGGAAGACTGGGCAGGTGTGTGCACCCCGACAGATACCATCGAGGCAGAAATAAAGCTCCAGTTCAAGAGCCCAAGGCAGCTGCATATCCAGCACAGACACAGATACACAGAGTCATGAGGAAATTCACCTTCCTTAGTTCTTTATTTCATCAAAAGTTCCAACTGTGTAACAAGTCTTACTCTCATGCATGTACTCCACACAAGAGCAGAAGTAGATGTGTAGAGAACAACAGAGAACATTTGGCATGACAACAACTGCTCTGTGCTGGGCAATACCAGCCCTTGTGCTCAGCATTACTGTGAAGTCTCTGCAGAGAAAAAGCAACGATAGGATGCCACAGCAGTACACAAACCCCACGCTGAGAACATAAAGTCTACAAGTCACTTTCTTATACAGATTTTGCACAGGATTCTCGGAGAGATGTTATAGACAGAGGCAGGCAAAGGAGACTAGACATTTATCTGCATTAATATCTTTGATGAATGACCTAAATCTGCAAGTAGTTTCCCCTTCAGAACAATAAGAACAGATGAGAGTTTAGATGGGAACTCACCTGAGCTTCAGGAGATGAGCTAGTTTTGAAAGCAATGCTCACAAACTCTAGTTACTATTATATACTTAAGCTACAATCCTGGAACCGTGTCCAGAGCGCGGGGAGTTTTCTAGTTGGTGTTTGTGGTTACAGAGCACAGGGTTGAGCCCTGTCTGCCTGGCTGCAGAGGGGGAGTGGGTACCTTTGTTCCTCCCAGGCAGAGCACTGCTACTGTCTGCCGTGCTCTCCACGCCCCCCTAGGTACAGCTCCTCCCAAATGCAACGCTGAGCACTTTGATAAAGCATCACTGGAGTTAGACTCGGGAAAAATGGCTGAAATAAAACTGTCACCTTTCCCTCACCAGTGCCATGGTTAGATTCCTTCATCTCCTTCCTAAGAGTCACTTTTTGTTTCTTGGATGAATGCTTGAAATTCTGTAAACACAAGATTAACAATATTTAAAGTGGAATTTACTGGAACAGTAAATACTTTGTTACACTGTTTCAGCTGCCTCTGAACAAACTGCTGCTATGGTTAAGGCAGTTTGCGTCACAAACATTTGGACAGAACAGTCCTGGGCTGGTTTTCATGCATCCCATCCTGTACTGGGTTTTTTAAAAGCATTTTCATGGACAAAACTAAGTTTATTCTTTAGTAAGAGAATAATTTATTACATGTAAAGTTCTACCTTTTCCTGTTATAAAGGAAGAAAACACCCTCTTTAAAAAAAGATTTGTATGTTTTAAGAGACTATTGAGATGGAGTGAGGAACACTTCAGTAAATAACTGATGTTTTTAAAGGCCAAGGTCAATGGATATACTGACACCTTCAAAAGTACCAGAGCACAGAAACTTCACTCACCTTTGTTAGGCACTGGGTGCTCTATGCTGACGTTCACTGCTGTGGTAGCTGGTAAATGATGTATTGTTCCTACAGTACCAAAAAGACCTGGAAAGTTTTCTGATCGTGTCAGGTCGGGCCACTAACTGTGAAATACTCCTGTACCAGTGGGTTATTCACTCTGGCTGCCAGGGCACGTGGCACATTTGCAGCTGGAACAACACTATGTTTTGCAAGTTCTGCAATGTCATTGCGTCCGAACATGAAAAACACTTTAAAATCAACATATGCAAGTTTACTGTCATAAAAGGAATGCCATTATGTTTCCATTCTACACATTGGGTGAAAAATTGGTTAAAAAGTCAATAAACAAACCAGCATAAAATCTGCAATAGGTAACAATATACAAAGTTCCAAATATAAAATTGTGATTCGTATAGTTTGTTACTTGCATCTTCTCACAAGAGGAAATGAAAAGAACCACACATCACTGAACTTCTACACAAGCTTCTTGTGTTTCAATGTCATTTATTGAGGAGTGAATGAGATACTGTCAGACATGCCAAAGAGACTTCACATTCAAGGGCTGGAAGCTGAACAGCTTTCCTCATTGAGTCACTGTACAAGTTGTTTTGGGGGATCTGAAAGTGCAATCAATGAGGTCTTCATGCTCCATGTTTGTCTTCGGTTTTTCATCTTTTGATCTACTAACTTGTTGGGCAGAAGGACACTTCCTACCCTACAAAGACTCACACTCCAAGTAATACAATTAACACTAGGTGTAGAGAAACGTTTATCAGTTATAACGTACATCTACTGCTGAAGGTCTTAAAGCTGTTTCTTAATTCATTATGTCTAATGAGAAAATTTAACTTGTTTCCCTTTCACCATCGTATGAATGGCTTATACTGTTAAAAAAATACTCTTCAGTGCTATTGTAGGGTTTACAGGAAACTTCTTCTGTGTTGTGGGGTAGAGGCCGATTTAAACACCGTTCTGAAAGAACTCTTCTTCCTGCTGCCACTGCCTGTAGGTTGCAGAAGAACGGCCTACACGCACTACAGTTCTGGGCTTACTCAAAAAAAGAAACAAAAGAAACCTAAACAAGAGGGTAAACGTTTATTTGGAGTTAGTTTTCTTGTGGATGATAATTAAGGCCCTTCAAGCAGAGTTCAGGAGCTCCTGTATGGCTGCCAGTTGGTCTGCATTGAGCTGTGATATGCATTCTGTCCACAGTCCTTCAGATGTCTAGAAAACAAACGAGAAGTTGTTTTTACGCAGGCTGACAAGCTCCTAAAGCACACGAAAAATGTTCCTATTTTCACTGAGCTCAACATTCACTAGGCTGTTATTACTATCCTGCAATACACGTGCCCAAGAGAACGGACTGAAATCTTCAGTAATACCCAATTCCACCTAGGTCCAGGCTCTAAAATACTGAGCAGAGGCAAGCTCTGGTTAAACAGCAGCAGAGTAATTGATTTGGAACTCCTGGGGACTCCCTATAATTAAGTGGGTCAAAGGGCAACTGACACTCCTAAGTCAACCACAGCCTAAACCACTTGCTCTGATTTCCATTGACGTTAAAAAAAGTTCCATGTTCAGGCAGAACTGGACCGTGGCTAATGGCAGAGTCTTGTGGGCACTGGGGCACCAGGGAGGCGCTCGGAGGAAGGGAGCACTGTGATTACAGCCTGCCATGCTACCCACACTCTGCTGCCAACACACAGCACGACTCGTTAGTGTGAGGAACAGTGAATTACTTCTCCTAGAGAAGAGAACATACACAGCAGCTATCTGGGTAAACACAACCCCACACTTTCCTGCCCCTCAATACACCTTATCCTGTGTTGCCACAGCCCTCATCAGCTTTTAAAGTCACCATCAGTAGGGACTGGTTCTAATAGTACCAGAAAATGTTGAAAATTAGAGAAGGTCAGGGAAAAAGTGTTTATTCTCTTAGCAACTGATTGATCAGATTCACTCGGTAATCAGCTGGCACCCTGCCCTCTTTAGAAGGACAATGACAGGAACAAACCTGCAGCTGACTGGCTGTAGCTCTTCTGAGTGGCTTTTGTGATAGTAGTATATTTGAAGTAAACTTTTAAAAATTGTGTTAATTTATATTTGGTACATTTTAAACTCAGCTCTACTATAAGGCCCTTTCCTCACACTTAAAAAATGAAAATGGATTCACAGAACTCAAAAGAATTTGAAAACAAAGTCCTCAGGCTGAGTTTGAGTTTGTTTTTAGTTTAAGTAATACCAGGCATTTTAGATTCTCAATGTATGATGGTATATTGCAGAATTAATTGTGTTCTTCCAGCATTTCTGACACACATTTAAAACTGATACCTTACACCCTACACTGAAATCTTTCTGGCCTGGAAATACCTAATAATGAGGGAAAAAGAGAAACTTTTCTCTTTATTTCCAACTACGACCATAATGCTGCTCCTGTCAGTGGAACAGCTTACTGAGATAATTTAACCAAAAAAAAAAAAAAGTGTTTCTCCTGGAATGTGGGAAACAGGAGCAGCAGGCAGACTGTTAGCAACTACACAACCTTTAAAGTTCTTACCATGGTATAAAATATTTACAGTGCTTTACTGAAGTCAAAGCACTACATGTGAAGAGAGATAGGACTGGTAACATAGGCTAAAATCCTATTTTACAAACCCTTGACCTTTAACAGACCCCCACAGTCTGAAGGTAAATCATTTCAGCAGTGCACAAGTCTCATTTTCATTTGACTGTTCCTACCCCTCCTGGCCAAAACAAGACTTTGCTATATATGTATAGATAAGTAGTGTATGTGCCACTGCATAGTCAAAAAAAAACAATCCCACAACCTTTTAAAGAAGTCAACTAACCTTGAGCATTTAAGGTAAAATGACCACATGCAGTAGCATACCCTAATATAAAGTTCCACACCCAGACTTCCAGTATCAGCTGCAAGGATTTGTAACTTTCAGCCAGTACCCAGAGCAGCCTCTTAGACCACTTTACACTTCAAAACTTCACATAATTTCACTCTTTTTATGCTTTCAGAGTTTTAACAAGCCATTTTCTACCAGACATAATGGACATCACGGACTGATACACTCATTCAAGTGAATCCTTTCCAAAAATCAAGTATTCCTAAAATTCTTGAACCTGAGTTTTGCCAAATCATGCCAAGTAGAAAGGAAATAATTCGATGGCTGCTGCTCCAAACCCTCTACATGTTTTTTATAAGCTATATGCTCTCCGGACATGCTACCTTCTATCATTAGGTGCCACAACTGATGAGTCCATCCACTTGGTAACACCTGGCCTCAGATCAGACCTGCCCTGTGAGCACTAATACTTACAGCACTGTAGAGTGCAGCTTAAACACCTGGACATCCCCACCACCCAGCACCCTGAGTCCTCGTTATGGCATGAAGGAAGTGAACTGTGAGGCAGTTCCCCCAGGGCAGGGAAAACATTGAGCTGCTGCCTGTATTTGCACTGGATTAAAGAGGGTGGTAGTAAAACTCCTTGTGGTTTGCACTCCTCCTCGAACGAAGATCCCAAGACTCTGCTATATTAGTAAGTCACCACAGGGTGTCGGGAACCCTTATGGAAACCACGCTGGGTCAAACCCTGCTATACAGTTCACCCATACAAAAGACAGGCAGATTGGTCTCCAGGTTTTAATTTCTGACTTAGAAAAAACAAACAAACACACACAAACCCACCAAGAACTCATAATACTGGCTGGCATGTTAGCCATCTAGCTGCATATCTCTTAAAACTTTTTTTTAAATTCATAAGCTTCCTAAGTTTATCAGAAGAGACAGACTCTATTCAAGTGCAAACATTACCCAGTCTTATCCTTAATGGCTCACGGGACGCCCAAGGATCTCCAGGATCACCGGCTGAAGCGTTGCTCTCTAAGGAGCCGAGGCTCCCAGAGCTGTGTTTTCAGGGGTCCCTTCACAGCCGGGGGCACGGACTCACCTGCACTTGGCGCACGACGTTCGCCAGCCGCTTGGTGCAGGGGTCCTCACGCTTCACGGCCTCGTGCATCTCACCATCCGCAATGATGCCAAATATTCGGGGAAGGTTGGAGTTGTTGGGGCCGAGGACGACTGGGTTGTTGCTGTTACAATCAAAATATGTTACAAATAAATTAATGTTTAACTAAAAAAATACAATGAATGTAAGCATTTTCCATGTAAGTTGGGTGATTTTGAAGTATTTTATTCTAAAGCTGCTTGTTTACATCTAAGTTTACCCAGCTGAATAAGCACATGTAGCTTTGTTGCCTGCTAACAGAATGTTCCCTCTCCTGTTAACATTTAACCAGCTGACTCTTTAATCAGGAAGAAGTTTGGAACTCTGTGGAATGGCTGAGGTCCATGCAGATGGAACTGCAAATAGTGTGACAGAAATACCCTGCCTAAAGGGCTTATTCCTCCCTCTCTCCGTGCTGCCACAGGGAGGAAGGTGTGTTTCTGGTGTCAGAAGCACCAGTGACTTCAGCTCTCCACCAGCAAGCAGTTCTGCTTCCCCTCTCCCAGCCAAGCACTGGAGTAGAGGAGCACTGGCAACGAGGCATCTGGGTGAAAAAACATCATCTGCTTCCAGCCCTGCCAGCCACCACTGCTGGAATGCAGAGGCTGTGAATGCAGGGCCGAGAGCTCCAGAGAAGTACGTCTGAGGCACCTGCACAGAGCTGGGTACCTGAGTGTGCTGGCACTGCAACTCCCCATTGCTGCACACATGTCAGCAGTGTCAGGGGTCTCTGCATGACTCTCTACATTGTCAGTCCAGTGATCTCAGTTGCCACCACCCATTTTGAGACCTTTCCTTGATAAAGCACCGAGAGATACAAGGTATTCACATAGGAGAAAAGCCTGTAGGAAATCTAACCTATTTCCTTCCTATTTTTCTATTAAGCTGTAATAGTGTCAGCCAGAACACGGCTACCGCATGCTTCAGAAGCTGACATTCTCCCACTCAATTATAAAGTGCAACTTGCACCCCCACGAGAATTGTCTTTTTCTTAATCCACTGACCTATGGATGGGACCACAAATCTGAAGAACAAGCTGTGGGACAAGAGGCTTTCAATAACTGAAATTATTATTACAAGGTTGGTAAGGGAGCTAGCATTGTCCCAAGAGTTGATCTGTATTGTCTACTTCATACTTCATTTTGTTGACAATGCAACCTTTCGGAAAGCAAAAAGGTGCAAAGCTACTTCAGAAGGTGATGAAAAGAAGGGTGCAAGGGTACACGTGCTGCTCTTAAGTAAAAAGATGTGATCAGTTGATATACAGGCAAGGTATCAAAAATTTTCTGTAGAAGCTCCCAGCTGATTCTTTCTCATCACATGCATATAAAATAGCCAGGAATTTTCTCCAAGCCATACAGACATTCAAATGAGAACACTAACTGTTTAAAAAAAAACAGCAATAACATCATGGAAGGCTCAGTTCTGAACACTCCAAATTACCTTCTGTACAGCAGATGCAGATTAATCTGGCAGTTTCTCAGTTTTGGAAAATGAAAACAAACAAGGAACCAGCAGACAGGCTTACGTTCTGCATTAATGTCAAGACTTTGCCTTACCTCTCAATTAAGTCACACAGATAATTGAAAGTATGGACAGCTTCCTCCTTGTCTTCGTGAAGGGGGAGCCACGACAACCAGTGTGGCAGGACTTCTTCGATGTTCACACACTCTGGCTTAAACTTCATTATCTTCCCCACTGCAGAAACGCAGTTCTCTGTGGCATTGACATTCTCTTTGGTTTTGGCATCTGGTGACTGAATGACTCTCACCAGCAATGGAAGCGCCTCTGATTGGTAAACAACACAAGAATACAGTTTAATATACTATCATATTACATTTTATTAACACAGACTACTGCACACATATAAAACTGAGGTTTTTTTGTGGCCCAAGCACCAAAATCCAGCCATCCCAATGTCCCACTACTTCTAGGTTCTTCCCTGCTCAATCATCATCATATGAAAACCAGATAAAGTTATGCAAGGAAACACAAGAAAAAAGGTACTGCAAAAGTTTGGATTTGATTTGCAAGTTCAGATGAAAAAAAAATATCCTGCACCCTTCAGCTGGGGTTATGGAACCTACAGTACACGAGACCTTGGAATTTATAGGGAAAACACAGATAACAAGCATTATCTCTTAATCTAAGTTTCTATAAACACAGGATGATGAGAAGCACTGATACAGTGACACACTAACTTGGATTGTAGCAGTTGACATCTCCAATGTATGCCTGGTGTACATCTGTTGCTGGTGTGCACATGCACATACCTATCTATAAAAATTCTGTATGCATGTACACATACAAACCTCCCACCACTAAACAGTGGACTAGGAAAAGCTCACAGGGCTAATCTCATCTGGTAAATCCACCTGGCACAGTTTAGATTGTAGAAATCAAACATCAAGGAAAAATGCCAATTTTATTGCAAAGTTAATAGCAACTAGATATTTTTAAAATATTTATGCAGGTAACCGCACGCACATTCCTAAATGAACATTAATGGTCTTTGTTACTAGTGTTCATACAGACTTCAGAGCACTCTACATCCACGCAGAAACAACTGTCCTTCTGTTCTTCTGCTAAAAACATAATGCTAGAACTGTGAAATTCTGTGTCAGCACAGAAAACAGGCTGTGGAATTGTGCAGACAGCATACTTCAAAATAACTCCAATTACTGAGGAAGAGCAAGTTCTCACACTGCTTCATTTTGATGACTAAGTAGCAGCTCTGCAGCTAAGGAACACACAATGACACTTGTTACATTAACTTCACTGAATTAGATTTTTGGAGAATTCAGCACCTCTAAAATACATGATTATCCCTAAACTAGACAAGGATACTTTTATGGGGCTGATAACCATTACAGAGCTGCAGAAACACTGGTCACCAGACCACCTCACCTGTGTTTCCTCACACTCCTTAATACTAGTGGGTGACTGGGTTTTTGTGTCCTTGCAGCCATAAGATTAGGAGGCCATCAAAACAAATCAACATAGTCTCCTCCCTACAGCTTAGCAGATACCTTTTCTTCTTGTCTACAGAACAGATGTATTCTCACATAGATGTTGTGGTAATCTCTAAAAAAACTCTTTGGACTAAAAAGACCATTTTCTATAATAATAGTAGTGGTTTTCTGCAAGGAATGACTGCTCTGGTGTCTTGCAACACCAGAAGTTTTAAGGTCACTAATATGATTTAGGAAGAAACACAGGCAGTTGATTGACACCATATTCACAGAGAACAGCCAGTTATATTCTTCCACCAACATAAGGAGGAGAAGCAAGGTTGACAGTCCCATAACTGTAACCTTGTAACCTCATTTACAAAGTTACTTGATTTGCTGTAGTTTGTCCTTCAGTCATACTTCTTTGCTCTTTATTAAGTCTATTTTTAATTCTTTGTTTCACCATAATGTAGCTCTTGTGCCTCTGTCAAGTTCTCCCTATGTTCCTGTACTTCAACTGGCTGCCAAAAACGCTTATGCTAATACATCTGCTTTTTCTGAATAGTCTTGAGTCTTTACATACTGCTATAAACTTGGAATAGAAGAGTATGCCAGAGCTATCTGTTGTTCAGTAAAGAAATTAAGTTATAAATAAAAGCTCACAAACATGATGTTTTCAGAGATGACAGTAAAACCTACAGTAGAAAGTTTCTCATGCCACAGACTTACTTTGTTTCTAATCACAGCATTATCTTCATCTATTAAAATAAATCACAAAGTTCTTTCATGTACATACAAAACACTTTTCAGGTGCCTGCTAATAAGCTGCTCTTATCTAAAAACATCCAACTAAAGGAGAAGCCAAGTGTCTGGGTTTAATCAAGGATTATTTGTCCAAATACAAAAAACAGGATCAAAGATGTCTACAAAGTTTAAATGGGCCAAGGCAAAATCTAATGAATGAAGAACAAAATTAGACTTCAGATGCTAAAAAACCCCAAAACTCAGAACTGTCTTGGAAGTGACTCTTGATGTAAGACTTACGCTAGAGCCCTAATTTATCCCTATCACATGGTTCTTATTTTCTTACACTATTTAATTCAGCTTTTAAGATTCAAGTGAAATATGTATTGAAAACGTTGACTAAATATTTTCTTAGAAAAGGGAAAAAAACCCTGTGATAAGGGATACTATTTAGTGTGCAAAACTAACTTTGTTGACTGGCAAGAAGAGTGCCAGCAGACAATAATTTCTTTAAATTCAAGACAAATTTGACATTTTAGAGAAACTTGAGACATTCAGGAAGAAACCAAAGTGTTCTGATAGGCATTATCATACTCCTTTTGTTTCTTAGTCACAGAAATCAGGGTCCTTCTTTATATATAAATGAGAAAGCAGAGAGACACATTAGTCATGTTCTAGGCCTCTTATTAACGCAGGTCACTTGTGTAATTTTTTGAGACATCCAAGGGTCTTACATTAATATGCAACCACATTAGTAATTAATAAAAAAGTAACTATGAGACAAGTGTATACCAGAAAGCTGTGTTTTAGGAAATAACATTGGTGTGTCAGATCCTAATTTTTTTTTTTTAAATACGTAGATCAAGCTTGCCTAGCAGGAAGGACTGCAACAAAAATGCTGCTAAGCAGAACATCATTAAAGTCTCAAGGAGCTCAGGTACTGTACTAATCATCGCCTTTACTAAGGGGACTTCACAAACCAAACCACGGGCAATTGTCCGTCAGTTACTTCCCCCCCGGGGTCCCAGACAGTTTCCAGCAGCTGCGTGGGCTCACCTGTGCAGAAGGGGCGGTAGCTGTCCCCACCAAACTGTGCCATGACCCCCACGCCGTAGGCAGCCGCCTGCCGGACCTCGGGGCTGCTGTCGCACACCGACTGCATCATGGACCTCAGGAAGTACTCGGCGTACTTGAAGGAGGAGGGGCTGCAGTGCTCCACGATGTCGTCGAAGATGCAGAGCCCCCACTGCCGGTCTGGCCACGGCCTGTGCGGGCACTGCACCAGAAACGGGACAGCGTCAGCCCCTTACAGCTCCTCACCTGTGTACGGTCACTGGTTGTCTCAGCACAACCGCCCTAGCCTCAGCCGGCTAGTATTTCTGTTAGAATCCTCTTGGATTAAATGTGATCCTACAAACACCTTATCTTCTGTAGTGATACTTGCATCAATACCATAAACAAATCAAAATCCAGGTGAATATTTGAGCCAATTAAAAGAATATTTATTTTAGGCTAAATCCTTTACCTCTATTTCACACTCAGTCACCTATTTCAGTCTCAATCTACCCCAATACTCTGCAATGCTTTTTTGGCCCTCTTGAAATTTCTTTTAGAGAGCACCAGACACTCCCAAGCGAATTAAATTTCTCAAAATAGTTGTGTGTGTCAACGATCCTGGGTCTTGCAACATACTAGAAGCAGCACAGCAGTGAAGCTGTTCAAAAAGCAAGTGTAGCAGCTTCATACTTCATCCAGAATAAACCTTCATCTGCCTCTGTTTTGTAAAACAGTAACTGCCACAGTCTTTCTACCAAGTTCTCCTAGATTCCAGCACGGAAGGCCTACTAACACATCTGAGAAAAATAATCAAATTAAAAGAAAGCAAGGTACTTACAACTAGGTTGACAATTAGTGGAAGTAGCCTTTCAAACCACGGCAGTACCTTCTCCTTGTAACTGCTGAATATTGAGTGCAAAATGTCCGATACTTTAGTCAAAATATAAATGTCACTGTCGTCCTGTTGGGAAAAGGATACAAAATGACACAACTCACAACCAGACTAACAATCTTCAAAGCAGCAGAAGTCACATGTAATGCTAAGGTCTCCAAATTAATGGAATAAAGTTGTTCAATGAGCTGGTTTTGTAAAACTTGTCTTTTTAAGTCTACTGTTTTTCAACTCTTGGTCTAATCATAGGATGATGGAATCATAGAATGGTTTGGGTCGGAAGGGCTCTTGAAAGGCCATTTACTTCAATCCCCCTGCAATGGGCAGGGTCATCCTTCACTAGATCACGTTTCTCAAAACCCTGTCCAACCCAACCGTAAACACTTCCAGGGAGGGGCCATCCACAATTTCTCTGGGCAACCTGTTCCAGAGTCTTACCATCCTCATAGTAAAAAGTCTTCCTTTTGTTCAGTCTAAACTTATTCTCTTTTAGGTTAAAACTGTTGCCTCTTGTCCTGTTGCAACAGGTCCTGGTAAAAGGTCTCTCGTTCTCTCACTCTCTCTCTCTCCATCCTTCATGTAAGTCCTCTTTATATACTGAAAGGCCACAATAAGGTCTCCCTGGAGCCTTGTCCTCTCCAGGCTGAACAACACCAATTCTCTCAGCCTGTCCTCATCAGAGAGGTGTTCCAGTCCTCTGATCATTTGTGTCCCTCCTCTGGGAACCTGCTGTAATAGGTTCTTGTCCTATGCTGAAGGCTGGAGACCCCGCAGCTGCATGTAGTGCTCCAGGTGGGGTCTCACAAGAGAAGAGCAGAGGGGCAGAATCACCTCCCTGGACATGCTGGTCACATTTCTTTTGATGCAGCCCAGGATACAGCTGGCTGTCCAGGCTGCAAGCACACATTGTTGCCTCATGTCCAGCTTTTCATCCACCAGTACCCCCAAGCCTCTCTTCACAGGGCTGCCCTCAATCCCTTCATCCCCCAATCTGTACTGATACTGGGGATTGCCCCAACCTAGCTGCAGGACCTTGCACTTGGCCTCGTTGAACCTCAGGAGGTTCACACAGGCCCACTTGTCAAACCTGTCCAGGTCCTTCTGGCTGGCATCCTGTCCCTCAGATGCATCAACTGCACCACTCAGCTTGGTGTCATCTGCAAGCTTGCTGAGGATGCACCAGATCCCACTGCCTATGTCACTGATGAAGATATTAAACAGCACTGGTTCCAGTATGCACCCCTACAGGACACCCCTTGCTATTAATCTCCATTTGAAGACTGAGCCTCTTCAATGCAACTCTTTGGACATGGGCAAAATTCCTTATCCACCAATTTATCCTTATCCAGTCAACTCCTTATCCACCAATTAGTCCATCCATCAAATCCATATCTCTTTAGTTTAGTGACAAGGTTGTTGCTTGGGACCATGTCAAAGGCCTTAACAGCAGTCAAGATAGATGGTATCATTTACTGCATTGGTAGGTTAAGAAAAAGCAAGTCAATCATAGAAGTCATCATATTAGTCAGGTGTGATTTGCCCTTTGTGAAGCCACATCAGCTGTCTCTAGCACCTCCCTGTCTTTCATGTGCCTTGAAATAGCTTCCAGGAAAATCATGTTTCATGAGCTCACCAGGCACAGAGTGAGACTGACTGGTTGGTGGTTCCCCAGGGTTCCCCCTCTTTACACTTCTGAATAATATAACTTGATTGCTAGCACTTAACTGCCTAGGACTTGAAGGTTTGTTTCAGGGACAGAAAAATTCTATCAAGACAAACACCATCTTGTGCAAATTTACTGCCTCAATGGATTCCCTTTACAGAAGGCCCTTTTCGCCTTCTGCACTTTACAGGTACTGTAACAAGCTTTTATTGAGAAGTAAATGGATAACTGACTTTATGACAGAAGATTGTGGCACATATATAAGCAACAGTAATCCTCTCCTCCTATCACTTAATTTTTCACCTTGCCCAAGTAATGCATCACACTGGTGAAGTAAAGATCCTTAGCTCAGATCCAGCTATCAATTCAGGGGACTCTGCAAGCAAGGACTGCTCTCTCGACACACTTGTGCTGGGAAAAGCTTCTCACTTGCTTTTAGAGCAAGTTCTTGTGTACTCAGCATGGTTCCTTTAATCAGTTTATACTTTAGTCGGCAGGGATAAACAATATTTTTAATGCAACAGGCAGCTTCCCACAACTGGATAGTTAAACCCTCCTTATTTAGACAAATTCTGCATTGTCAAGGCATCATTCAAACAATAACCCCGGAACATATGCTCAAATGAAAATAGAGGTGGAGCACTCCTGCAGCACACCACGAGGTCCACCTGGCCTGTTAGTAATAGATGGCAGCAGATGCTGAGGGGGAGAGCATAACATTTGCTTAGCATACACCTTGTCCTACCCTCTAAATCCACAGCTCAATTATCACCTAAGCTAGGGCTCTGTCTGGATATCTTACTGAAACTACTTTTTGAATAATCTCTCATGACTTCTGTACTCCCTTGTATTTCTGCTGCCTTGAGGTAAGGGCTACACAAAAGTATTCTGGGACCAAAGGTGTATATCCAAATGTTACTCATTACCATATGTCAATTCTGTCCATATGGCAAGTAACATTCTGGTCCCACTCCTACATTCACAGGATAATGCAGACAAGTCTTCCTTGAAGTTTTTAAAAAGCGAAAAAATAAATCGGCACGGTCAAATACAAATTAAAGCATTTTTAAACATGCCTTTCAACTCTGATGCAGATCAGCTTTTCAGGAACTGCTGCTTGCTGGCATTCTCCTGTTATCAGTATGGAGTGACACAAAAGAAAAGATAAACTGCCTAACTCTGTGTCTGCAAGAATGAGGAGTAAATGTTGCAAATAAGAAAGGGAGAAAAATCAGGAAAGGCTCTTGGCTTAGAACTCGAGTTTTGTTAATTTATGATCCCAAGAAGTATGTAGGCACCAGAAATCCATCCTTTTGAATGCTGGCTGGAACATTCCCAAAGGAAAGGGGCTCAAGAACTACATTGTTATCCAAGGAAGTATTTACATATGGGTGCACAATCTGTTAAGATGTATTCTGGAGTCTGAATACAGGTGAAACCCATGTAAACAAGCTTCACAATTCAGCTTCACAAGCTTCATGTCTGCATTGTGTGGCCGAAAAAATTCCTAGTTCTTAAATTTACTGCATCTTTTATGTCTCATGTTATAAGCAAGCAGTGACATTACTTTTTATTACTCTCTCCATACTGATAATGATTTAATAGTTATCACATCTCTTCTATGCTCACCTCCACTTCAAACTAACAAGTCAGTTCGGTATCTTAGCAGCTAAGTAGCCACTTTGGTATTCTCTCACAAGCAAACATATTATGCCAGCTCTTCATCCTCCTGTCTTCCTTTGAAACTATTTTAGGCCTATTTCTTTTGAGACAGGCTCCTGATCTGACACAGCAAAGGTCTAGGTATCAGAGGTATGCTCAAGGTTAAGAGCCACCTATGTCATAAGGCCCAAAGAAAAAGCAAGTCAGCAGGGCTAGGCCTCAGCAAATCACTCATACAGCATTTGACAGTAGACTACTTAGAGACACCTAAGAACTGCTTGAGAGGATGAAAAGAGTGAAGAGCTATATCCTGAACTTCTTCCTTCAGGGTACCAGACAAGGAAACCTTTCCTGTCTTCTAATTCACACAGGTAGGTGTGACCCATTTCTTACTGCAAGTTCTGAAGGAATATGGTAACAACATTACTCAGGAAGAAATAATTCTGAGGGTGCACTATGCTTTAACTGAATAGCATAGCATATCCCTGTAACTTATTTCCATCTGGTGCTTTACAAGTGGAAAAACTCCCCAAACCAACTTACTTCATCTTGTAATGACTCTTCAACTTGTTCATCATAGTCTTCGTCTTGTCTTTTCACTAAATTAAAAAAAACCCAAACATTAAACCATTGCATATCTGTAAGTGCATAAGAAGCCTGGGAAAAAAAAAATTATGCAGAAACAAATTTAGAAAACTAGAAACTGTAGCTGAAATTGCAACAGGAATGTTCTACCTTTAAGAAGCTTCAAAGAGCTTTCACAAAAAAAAAAAAAGTATGAGACGGCTTGGTTAAAAAACGTATAAAAACACATGAAATAGAAATAAATACACCAGCTTGTCCACAAGGACAAGAAAAGTGTACAGAACTAAGAAACTATTACTGCTTTAAGAGAACTGCAAAGCCTTCAGATAAAAAAACCCACAGCAACAACACCACCATAGACACGTGCACTGTCTTCAAGTAAACTGTCCATCAACTTTTGATTAAACTTACATTATTTCTGCAAATGATGCCATGTTCATCCTCCCAGAGCTTACAAGTATAAATCATGGATTCTGTTTCAAAGTCCAATTACCTTACATAAATATGCAAATTAAAGAAATCTGAACTAAGGGGTTTGTGTTCAAAAATCATTAGGAATTCTGCATTAAAGAACACCCATTATTACATGTTAACAGGAATTTGTATTAACTTACCCTGTCTTAATTCTTGATTTTTAAAGTGCTCTTCTAGTTTTCCTTTCAATATTCCTCCAAGTTCTTCAAAGTGTTCGTTGTTAAGGCATCCATCTCCCATCACCTCAATGCACTAATGAAATAAAATGATCAGTTTTTCAGCTATAAGTTACATGAGCAGTCCCAATGAAATCTAACCATGCAGAGAATATTAATACACGCTCTGCCTTTAATTGATGCTAGCAGAAATAATACTAATAGAACTTTCATACTATAAAATTAATGTTCCAATTATAGAAGCAAGGCATAGTACCACTGTACATTTCATACACATAACTTCAGTGGCTTGTAGTTAAAATGAACAAACCTGGAATTTATTTTAAGTTAATACTTTGATATTTGGGTTCTTGCACAAAAGTAAACTAAGCATTCTATCAGCTATAACTACATCTCTAGTCAAACCACAGATTCAAGCAGAGGAAGCCTTGCGTTTGTTCCAGCCATTTACATGAACATCAAACACGTGTCCTTCCTTATCAGGAAAAGCTGCAAACAACAACGCCTCAAAACTCGTAAAGAAGGAAGTTACCTTTGCAAAAGAATGCATTATTTCTGAGAGAACATCCAAATCTGGTTCTGTCCCAATGGCTTTGATGAGTGCATCACACATGAAGTGCCACATCTGTGTGAGGTACTCTGGCCCACGAACTCTGGCACACTCAAGGAGGAGAGGCATCGACTCTGCTGCTGCCACTCGAACACGTTTCGTTATTAAGGAAATAAAACTACCACGACCGATATAAAGGGCTTAGAATTTAAGCATCCACCACCGTAATGAAGTTATTAGTTTTCTACTCAAAATGTACTTCTGATTATAAATCCAAAGCATTTGATTTATTAATTAGATACAGATTAAGATCATAGCAAATTAAGTGTTTGCTATTTACAAGTTGTTTCAAGCCTGTTTCAGGCCATGGCATAACAGCTATCCAAGGTCTCCTTCACTTTGTTGGCATAAGCATCACTATCTCTACTGTTTGCTTTTAACATTACAGACATGCTTATTTAAAAATAAACTGGGGGAAAAGTAGGATACATTGCCTGAAACAGTGTGTAAAACAACATTATCAGAAAAAAAATTCTACTATAAAGCAAGAGAATATTTTAACACTAACACTTTCAATTCATTTAGGAAAACAGTAAGCGTGACTTTGATTCTTCCAAATTAAGTTTCCATTTTCACAGTAGAATTTGTTAATAGGATATCATCATGGAAGTAGAACTTCAACAGGGGAACCATCAGCTTTACAACTTGCTCTGTGTACTCCACGAATCCTTCTTTTAGCTCTTTTGCATAGCAAACCTGAAACACAAAGCACGGAAATGCCACGTTTAAGGGAAAATATTAATATTTTTCCACTACATAATCATGAAAATGATTGTTAAAAGTTTACATTTAAAAAAATTTATTTAAAAAAACCACACAATAATCCATTTGTCTACTCCCTCCACTATGGCATTTTAAGAAACCCTGACAGCAGCATGAGTTCTCACTCTCCGTACCCGTGCGTATTTTTCAAAGTAAATTCAGAAACATCCATGTTTGCAAAAAGCACTTATTCTCCAACATCTCCGATTCCTTAGAAGTTTTGCTAACAAAGTAAAACTATCTGTTCATCTTAAGAATTGAAGCCCCAAACTAAAGAAACTGTTTTAAATAAAGTAAGCCACACACAATGTAATGTCAGAAATCCAAACTTAATGTTGTCACCTGAAGAAAACCAGAACTATTTCATTTGATACTATAAAGAGTATTTCCATTACAGGTTTTGGCTTCACTTGTCCAGCAATACAGAGATCACCAAAACTGTCCTATTACTCACCAGCATCTGGCACGCAGTTGCTTTTTCTTCAAGGCCTGCAGTTTTAATTCCAAAACTTTGCTGATCTCCTAGGTTTACAAATTCCCAACCATCATCATCGCTCATATTCTCCATATCTTGTGCTGTTATAGAGAGGTAGGGGAGAGAAATTTTTAAAAAATATATCTAAAAGTGCTACAAAATTATTTCAGTATTTTTTCATGCAAAACATTAACTTAAACCTACTGTCTAAAAGAGCAACTTCAGGTTTAATGGATGCAGTCTTCATTAAAGGTCCCATGACAACAGGAAGGTACTGTTGAAATTCCTTTCCAAGAATTTTACACATTCTGGCCCACGCTGAGATCATATAAGAAATCTATAAAAGAGAAGAGTCAGAATTTTCATGTCCCACATTGTATTTAATGCATACTTGAAAGGAAAGCGTAAAGGAAGAACATTATACAATAGGACTTTAAAGAACCTGTCAGCAGTGCATAAAGCTTATTTCAAAGAGAAGAACTCATCCAGTATGCAGTCCATACCCAAATGCATCTTCAAAAGATCTGTCCCAAGTCTTTATTTGTAACAACGCATTGACAGCACCTCTGATCAACGTTGCTACACATGTAAAAACCTGACAGTGTAAGATGTACTTGTCATGCAACTGACACTGTCTTAAATAGTAAATTTATTTCTGAAATGAACAATTTCCTGAATTTAAATGATACTACTGAGCCAAATTCCTGAAAATAGCAAATAGAGCAAAACCAACAACAAACAGATTGCAGTATTGTTGTTTTGAGAGCAGGATTTGTTTTCAGATGCAGAAGTCAAAATAGCTCTCCACTCATTAGAACAGCAAGGTATGTGGTAATGCCAAAGTAGTTACTAATAGACAAGACTATTACCCAATGTGCTGAAATTTCTTCAGCAAATATAGGTCCTGGAAGTCTCATTTCCTAAAGACAATTCTGTGAAAGTTTCTAAGGCCATCTTAGGGTGCTCAATTTCAAATTTCATGCTGAACAATTAGTCTGAAAGTGTGATTACATGGGGTGGGACACACTAGGCCAGAAACATCACATGTACAGAGAATGTTTTGAACTTTTTAAATAATAACCTATGCAATATAAAGACACAATTTTAACATACCTGTGGATCATCATCTTCTAGATCACTGAAGTCTGTTTGTGTCTTCAATAAAAGCTGCATTACATCTGATGCATCCTGCATAAACTAGATATAGGAACAACTATATGTTTTTAAAGGCAAATTAAAAGGGTGCTTTTCAGATACTTAAATGCTCAAATTTACAGTGTGTTGGACTTAACAGCAAACAAGACACAAGCTAAAGGTGGAAACAGAGTGAAATGCAGCTAAAAGTGAAAACACGAGTTCTTTTCCTGGAAGCACCACCAAGTTGGTCTTGTCTCAAGCTTCACTGTACTTCTGTTCATATACTTGGAAAAACAGAGGACTATTTAAACAAAATGCTACATAAATACTACCACTCACAAAAAACATCTGACAATTCTAACTTTCCTAGATACCCTCACTATTTTGACTCCTTTACGAAACTGAGTTTAAAGCTGACAGCATGAGCTACTTACTCACAAGCTAGTAACATTTTACATCACATTAGACACCTCAACGGTGTTACATCTACCATCTTTCCACTCCCCATGTTCCCAGTAGTCCCTGAAGAATAACTGATTAAACATTAGTCATGTTTAAAATCTGCTTAAGATTTAGTTGCATGAATGGTAAGTTTACTGGCAGTCCTTCTAAGTCAAAGGAAAGGGCTGGTAATTTTGCAGGGGGTTTTTAGCATTTTTGTACACATCATTCAGTGTGACAAGAGTAACTTAAGTTTTAATATTTTTCTAGGATTCTATTGTGAGTTTGTGAATCTCAACAGCAGGACAATTTTCTTAGAAATGAGAACAGGAAGACAAGCATAGGAATCAGCAACAACGTAAGCTGTATGTTTTACAAGTGACTATATTACTTCAGTATTAACACAGTAAAATCAAAAAGTCATAAAAAGATATATTTACATTGTCAGATAAGATCTAAGCTTACCTTTTCTTTACCAACAGCAAGACCAATTAGGCTGATGCATTCAATAGTCTTTCCTCGTAAAAGCCTTAATTCCTTCTGAACAGCATTCTCAACAATGTGTTTTAAAGAGGGCATAAATAAATCATAGTAGGGAACAAACTTCTCCTCTGCTGTATCTGCAACTGACGCAATTGAAGTCACAACTTGCTCCAAAACTAGCTTAGTGCCTTTCTGTATCAACTTGGAAAGAGGAAGAATAAAGTGTCATATTTCTAAAGCACATATTGTACTTAAAAGCATGCCAAATCTAAAAATCTGTTGTTATATGTATCTTAATTCTTGCCAGTTTAGACTAGCACCAGCAGGTAGGCATGCTGGCTTAGTTCAGAGGTCTTAGTTCTACGTATGTGACACAGTTACCCATGAAACAATTTGTTCAGTATATTATACCTCTTGTAATTTTATCACCATAGTGGAATGCAGGTGCTTCACAAGATTATCCAAATATGGAATCAGCAGTGACTTGGGACAATCTTCCGTGAAGTTTATGAGTGCTGCAGCTGCATGGGCTTGAACACGCTGGTTACCTTGATCTTCCATGGTTTGCAGAAGAGCTGCTATCACCTGAAAAATAAATGTTTATTTTCACAAGAGCAAATTTCTGAAGGGGACATAGTTTTACCACCTTTTTTTTTTAAAAAACATTCTCCTACTTGCCTTTTCATGAAATTTCTTTTGAAACCCAGGTGCGAAGTCAGTTGCCATTTGTCCGATAGCGTTACAAGCAGCGAATCTTACTCTTGGGTGCTGAAAAAGTATTTCCCGCAAATAGTTAACAGGCAATCATGAGGGCAGACATGAAAACACTTTGAAATATTTAACAGCATTATACTCACAGGATCCTGAAGGAATAGCAAAACAAAATTAACTATCTCATTTAAAATTCCCTCCATTTGTTGATGGCAACCTTCTCCAATGGCTGAGAGCGCCATCAAGCCAGCATGCCTGTACTTCCAGTCAGCTACACGAGAGGAAAAATGAAAATGAACTATGTCATTCATTTGGCAAACTAAACAGCATGACAAAACGAAATCACAAAATCACCTTTTTTTTTGGGGGGGGGAGGGGGTTGGGAACAGGAGGAGGAAGAGTGTAGGAGAGGGAAGGACAATTGATGCCTCTACTTGATTTGTTAAATACTTCTCACTTTTCCTCATACATACTTCCAGAGATGCACAAAAATTTGAGTATCTAATCCAGGCCAAACCCTGACCTAGAAAAAAAGAATTCTTAACTGCTGATACAAGTATGTGCATAGTACTAACACCTGGGAACTGCATTTTTATCAAATGAGCTAACCAGGGCAACATCAGGACAGTATTTCCTCTTCCCTCTCTCCTATCTGTTTTTTTTATTTATTAATGGCACCAGAACAGCCTATGCCTTCCTCTTTAGGCCAGGAGAGGAAAAAGGTCTAGTGAATCGATATCTAAATTAGAAACAATCAGTACTAAACTTTTCAGTAGTCTCCCCAAGGCTGTTCAAGAACAATAACATTCTGTTTAATAACGTAAGGCATTCCTTGCCTCCAAGTCCTATTGGCCTAATCTCAACACTGAAAAAAAGTTGAAATGGATCTTTCACACCCCTCTCTCTGTTTCTTTAGGCAAGGGAAACATATAAGAAACTTCAATTTCTTTTCTTTTTTTTTTAAATAACATATCTGTGCTAGAAAACATGGGTATTACAGAAAAGAAAAAAGAACTAATGTGTTTATCAAATGACCTGTGGGAGAGGCATGTGACACAACTTTTCCCCAAACAATCCAAGATTTAATTATTGCTGTTACTGTATTCAGTTCCCAGAATGAGGAACACCACAGTTCAGGGCATTGGAATCCTGACATTCATGCTCCTGTTTGATCAGGATGAGATGATGTACCACCTTGGCAGAAGGTACAGTAGTTTATTTTGTGCTATTTAAGTTCACTGGATGCTCCTAGTTAAGCCTACACCTCTTGTTACTCTCACTTTATTACTACTAGCATGCATTTCAAACTCAAAGTTAGTGATACCACAAAATGAGATGCAATCATGTTTGGACCATCTGGCTAACCACATCCAAACCCGGAAGTTTTAAATTATTACTTCAACAAACATTTCTGAGAAAAGGGTTGGGGAGAGGAAAAGAGAAAGTTTGATTTCTGACAGCATTGATATTGGTTTAATCTAATTGTCTTCATCTTTCCTCCCAGCTCCCTACTGGTGAGAGCCTCCAAACCAAAAGTATCTATTGCGTCTCCCTTTTCCAAAGAGTATGAATGGTTATGGAAAACTCTGACCTAGCAGAAAGAAGGCATCAGGCATCAACTGCATGACTTCCCCCTTTCATCGGGTCAGGTCCTACAGCCATTAAGACTCCACACCTTTCTCTGGCTACTACAAAACTGGGCATTTGCTACCCTTGTTCTCTTAATACTGGGATAGTCAGGTTACTCCATTTTCTTAATAACATTTTCTTTACAAAAACACCCACCTTCTTTCCAAACAAACTTTCTATGTGTTCATACCCTAGTACCTTGAGTAGCCCTGTGTTCCATATCTGATATGGTAACAGTCTTTTTTTGGACTAGGCTTTAAATCATGAAGGTAGGAAAAGTACCCAGAAATTTTGCACTATCTTCTACTTCAAAGGCTCAAAGCACAAGTTAAGTGAAGCACATGCAACAAATGCCCTGTAGTTTTTTTGAATGATTGCCTGGGCAAGCGTTACAGGTATTTTAAGAGGCAACTAAGTGTACAAAGTATTCCATAAGAATACACAGAACCACGTAATGAAAGAAATATTAAAGCCAGCATACCAAAAGACAGCCAGCCTTTTGAGAGAATATTCTAAAATAATAAAAAGTCTTCCCTTATTTATACTTTATTCACAGACTGTGAGTTTTGAAAAAAATGTACTGTTTTGGTTTTGACATTTCTGTTCAGCTGTCCATATTCCAGAAAAATGTTGTAATGCACTGTATGTAAGTTTAATAAATCAGAGTCTAAGAAAAGGTATAAACTTCCAAGTTCACAGCATTTGCAGTCTTCGCGGCTCAAATCAAAAGTGGAAGTGTGCGAAAATGTATTAAGGAGCTAAACGTGAAGATTTAAGAGGTATCAAAGTTGCTGGAAGAGACAGAATTGTAAAAAAAAATAAATAAATTTACAAAAGCAGTTACTTACGATTCTGAAGCATTTGCATGATATGTTCTTTTATCATAGGTAAAACAAGTTTTCCTCCAAGGCCACATGCCATTCTGTCCAGTGCACTCTCACCAGCAACTGCATTGCTAAATACCAGTTACAGAAATATCAGTGGTTTGGTATCTACAACAATGCAAACAGAAGTGCCCTTTCCTGAGGTCTCGACTACTGGTTTTCACCATCTGAACACCCGTGAACCTCCGTTAGTAAATCGAGCATACCCAAAGCTAAAATCGCACACCCCCGTCACAATACAATTATCTACTCCCCCCCACATGAATGTTTATTAGCTGTAGCCCACTGATTAAGTCTAGTACCAAAGAAACTTGGGCCTTAGAAGCACAGAAGGTAGAGACTAAATTTTGCAACCATTACACATACCTAGAAAGGTGAAATACAATTTGCAATGAATTAAGCAATAATACTGGTCATCATCTTTCTGTCATGAGAACACAAACCAGTTCAGCATTGCTGTGAGTCAGGTGAACCAGCAGACTTCAAGCTTTGGCATGTACGAGACCTTTCTCACGTGGCTGCAGAACCAATATTCTACTAGCATGTTTTCCTGCCAATGACTCAGGCAGAAAACATTCAGTCCAGGTGAGGGATTTGTGATTCTCAGCCAATTCCAGAACTGAGATGAGCCAAACATCACCTGTGTAAAGCCACTTGTTCCGTCCAATTAAATTATTCCCTACAGAAAAGACAAGGAAGTTTCCAGTATAGCTACTGTTACAGTCTGGGTATGGCTAGTGCTGTAGTAACTTGAGGTTATTGCAGTCCATCCTAGACCCCCGTGCTGATGGAAAAGTTGAGTAATGGGTCAGGAAGGGATTAATCTCCCTCCTCTTTCAAGTATCAGTCAGCTGGCTGACAAATAGAGGTTTTCAAACTATTATGCTTGAATCCCCAGGTCTCATTACGAACCATAAACAGTCCAGAAATTCAGGTGCTGTGGACAAAGGTGTTCTTGTATTTGTTCTTCAGATAGTCATGTTCAAATCAGCAGACACATCACCATCAGGACAACAGACCATGGGCACACAGACTTAGACTAGAGCAAACTGAAGTTTACGGCAGCTTTTGTCTGAAATTACATTCTTTGAGCTCTTTCCTCCCACCATCAATTCATACAATCAGCTTAAGGAAATAAAGATAGTTTATCTTAGAAAAATGTCCACACATCTCCCTGCAATGTTCGCAGGGCTTTTGCCAGGAAAAGAGGAAATTGGATTAACCTTTTCCTTCTTTAGAATTTCAATGCCCTGTGAAATCAGAAAGGAAAAAAAAAAAAAGGCAATGCTGAAATATTTCCTGTACTTTCGTGTAGGCTGATGCATATCCCCCTTAGTCAGATCCGAACACACCCTAACTAGGTTACAGCCTGGTGATCATTAGCCTGTTCCTTGGACTGTGCAGAAATTCCAGTCTTCTTCTGAAGCTACAAAGACTTAAGAACCAGAAGAGGTTAGTATGCACACCAGCTACTACCTCTTCATAAAGGTGAACAAGTAAATCTGCTAAAATAAATGAAAACCAAACCAAACCAAACCAAACCAAACACAAAATCCCACACACAATCACCAGAGACTAGCTGATGTCCAGTATGTCGTGTCCAAGCCTCAACATCTCCTATTACTTCCAGGGCCAAAGGAGATACATTGCTCCTTCAGGCTAAGGTTGCCAAGTGTAACTTGTTTTCTGATCTCTGCCGGCTCTACTTGCAACTTGTAACAAAAAAGTGTAAATTTTCACTATAAAAATCCATAGGCAGTTAACATACTTAGAAGAACAGAGTTACTCTGTGGACAGTGAATTGGCACGCCTCAAGCGGATGATTCAGAGCACTTGCTAAGCTGCCTGAAACAGCCATCTGAATAAAATCCCACACCCTGAAAGGCTTGATGAGGATTTGAACTGTAATATTCTATTTCCTCCTGATACTTAGCTGAATGAAAAGATGCAAATTCTTGACAAACCTGAATGCAGTGGCGTCTGACAGTTCTACCCATGTGGCAAAATTTCAAAGTTGAGGAAACGAAACAGGTTAAAAGGGCCTGGTCTGCCACACGGGATGGGCAAGAAAGGACAGTTCACTTTCAATTCCATTAGCAAGAAGAACAAAAATAAGTTTCCCAAGTCAAGTAGAGATTAAACAGGTTCTTCCATATGTTCCTATGCATAGGCTTTGCAAGTGTCTTTACATGCCATGTATCTAGTAGAATTCATTGTTTAGTTCAGAGGTAAATCAACATCTCTTCTATTGCCTACCTTCCTACGAAGATCTCAAAGTGTTCTGTGAAAATATGTTTCAAAACACTATAACTACATTTTAGTCTTGAAGGAGATGCCAGATGTGGCAAAAAACATTTCTAGACTGGCAAATGAACAACTGTATCTTTACAGAAGTGTTTTTGCTCTCTTCTACTTCATTATAACTGTACTTGGAGAAGAGCAGATGTAACAGGATGCTGCAGACAAACCACTGTCACTCTAGTGAAAAGTTGCAGCAAAGTACAAAGCATAGAGGAATAAGCAAATCAGAAAGACTGGACAGCTTCACTAGATCTTTCTCAGCTGAGACACAAGATAAGATACTGCTAGCCATACCCAGGGACTTAAAATAATAGCAAAATCATAATGCTTCTAGGCTAGATGAAATCCAGCAAGTAATTCTCTACTATATATTCTGATTCCCTTTCAAAGGTAGGCAGCTTTTTTCTGTTAACATCCCCTTTTCAAGGGCACAGGTACAGAAAAATATTAAGAGAGAGGTTATAGATGATTCAACAGGTCAGTATCATAGAATTATAGAATC